AAACTAGTGCTTACGCAGCCTAACGGGCGTGGCTCTAACCACCGATCCGCTAACAAAACAACAAAAAAAAATATTATATTACGGCCGGGTGTGATTGGAGAAACAATCAATCATGCTCTGCTACCAGCAATGTTACGGCCCTCAGTTACCCCGACAAAAGTCGACTGGGCTAGGGCCCATAGTAACCCAACTCGACCAGCAACTGAAGGGAGGGCCCAATGGCCTATGGATAATTCATTTGTAACTACTGACGAATGGTATGTGTGAATGGTGTAGGAAAGTGTTTAATGTAACCTGACGTCACCGATGTAATCTTTAAGCAGAACCGCATGCGTTGCCACACTCCACAAGGCGCAATCACTTTATAGGGTACCTACCGTTATAGGAACTCAAAGTCTAACGTCACTTAGCACAAACTATAATCGAGCGCGATCGCCACCCGGATGACAAAGTTTAGCGTTCAACCGATAAAGCAAAATTCCATAGCACGATATTAAAACGCAACACAAGCCACGCGTTGATGCAAATTAATAGCAATCGAAGTTAAAATAGTCACTCAAAACTCAAAAGAAAAGCCTCGTTGTCACGTATATTAACGAAATAAAACAACACAATGGAGGCCGTCGCAATGCGACGCAGCAATTCTTACGTAACTCGCGACTCTAATCGACACAGTCGTCACGTCCAAAATTCTACCAGACTAATGGCACCGCCGAAGGCGCAAGGCGAACGCCCCCCCCCCCCCCCCACGCAAACCGGCCCCTCGCCCGGGACTAACGTCCCGCAAGCTGCAGCTGGTAACGACTTGGCGTAAACAATAACTATCTACTAAAAGTACTTTAACTATAGTAATTAAAAATTATTTCACTTTTATAGCTACTTATAAAACTATATTTAATTAAGTCAAAATGTAATTAAAAAAAAACTTATATAAAATGTATTGACTGTTCACTGTACATTGCATAACTTTTGTTAAATACCTGTAGAATTGCTAAAGTGTAACTGTAATCTATCACCAAAAAAATAGCTCTCTGACTTGTAATAACAATAATCATTTACTGCATTTTAAAAAAGTTCCTATAAATAGTAGTCTAACCTCTCATACGCTTAATAAGTTAGTGTGACGGTAAACGCAAAAAAGTGGTAACGTATTTGCGAATTTGTAACGTAATATATAGATTAAGTGAATCATAACTTGCCGTATACTTTTATGAGTGTGAATAATGGTGCCTTTGGAAGTGACTAGTATCTAAGATACAGGCTCGGCCTAGTTTAGACGCTAGTGTATAAAATTGTATAGATAAGTTATAACTCATACCATTTGTCTCGTCTTAAAGATAAATAATGTAATCCTTACTTTGTGTCAATAAATAAATTATTATTATTCTCTGTCTACTTAGCGCTACGATTTTTTTTAACTGGCTTTACGGCTCTGCATTCTAGCCCTTCTGAGCCAATCATTTCTTTCGGAATTTTCATTTTTATATATTTCTGTTCTTCACAATATGCGATAAGTCACATTGCGAAGTTTTTGGGAGATTTTGACGACAGCTCAACCCAGCGGACAGTTGATGACGACAGCCACTCAAGTTTATAAGGTTACCAAGCGATCAAAGTAACTTGAGGTTTTTATTAACATCAAAGCATTTTTTTCGTCGTTTTCTCTAATAGTTCACACGTGCAGATACCTAATTCACATAATCACATCACTTTTATGAATCAAAAACCACTTCAAACCATTATTCAAGCGACAAAACAGGAGCGACAATCCGTCGACGGCCATGTTCCCGCCAAAACCCCTCGTAGCAGTAATAATAGCATCACTTCCATGAAGGTTAGAGAACAGGAGAACGATCACCGTAGAAAATAGTGTCCCAGAAATATGGACACCATCAGTGAGGCGCTGCGATCACTAAGTGCAGTCAATAAAAGTTATTTTCAGTCTATTTTTCCGATCAGATGCTCAACCAATTGCACATCCACGCACAATAAAATATTTCTCCATTTTTTAATGTTTCTTTTTGTCAACAATTACACAATTACGGAGCATGAAAATTTTCTACGAAAAATTAAATGAAAATTTGTACAATATTCAACTAACTTCGCCTACTTGTACTCATAAACAGCTAACTTCGCAGTCACTACTCACCGACGTCAGCGCCGCTATGCTACAATTTTCAAGGACAGGCGGGCTATGCTTCATAGTACGTAGTGATCGTTCTCCTGTTCTCTAACCTTCATGATCACTTCCATGGAGTATAAAGGTAATCACTTCACTTCACTATAATAGTTTGGTATTGTAACCATAGATAATACACTAGTGATGAGATAGAGAAAAAAGAAAGGACGTGACATACTTTCCAAAAAAACGTGTATACCTAAATTGAGTCTGGCAGAAAGATGGCAGCTTGAAGTAGTGTTGCGTACTATACTTAGTATCGATAATGTGGTGCTTATTTGAAAAAAGATTCTTTCGTGTGATTCGTCTCAAACACCCGATTGTTCTTAGACAGGTTTTTTTTAAATCGATATGACGGATGACAAATTGTAAGTCCTTAATTTTTTTACCCAACCTATCGATAAGGATATCAAAATAAAGGAAATTAAAAGGACATTACTGAAATATATAAGTTATACCTACGTTTTCCGTCCATTACTTTCAAGTAGTCATTTTTTTTGTAACTATCTGTTATTAATGTTACAATCATTTCCCACTAAACAAGAAGTACTAATTAAAGAATTTTTGTTTGTTTGTTAGACAATAAGTTAGGATCCGTCACCACACTCACACTAATCAAACTATAATAAATGCAAAAGTTTGAATGTTTGTTCGTTCCTCAATCACGTCAAAAGTATCAGACCAGTTTAAATGTAATAATGTGGCACACAAATAGTTTATTACCTGAATTAACATATAGGATTAGAGGTTCCGAGAAATAGAATAAGAAGATAGCTCGGGCGGACGCTACTTCATAATAAAACTCAAATTTCCATTTAAAAAAGATTTATTACAAACAAAAATTACTCGCACTTACTCATTACGAAATAATATAATTTTATTAAAATAATTTCGAAATGAAATTTTTTCTGTTATTTTCTTTCCAAAGTATTTAAACCTCAGATCTATATAGGTTTGGATTTAATAAGTAAAATTCTATGTGTCGTATCATGTTCGCAGTTTGAAAATGTTCCATTAAAAATCTGAACACATTATTGCTCAGACCGCAGTTGTTTCTGAAAAATACCCTTTAAGATTTTTTCCACTTTAGAGTGCGCTTCACGGCTGTTGATGGGTAAATCAGCCCACACCTTTTCTTTAAAGTTATTAAACTTTTTTGATAGTCTTTGGGATCACCAAACAACAAATTTGCGCAAATATCGCATTTTATAGACCAACCACTTTCTTGATATAAAACCAGCAATATAAGTAACTACGCTGTCGGAATAGTTGGGTAGGTTGTTGTACATGCAATGAATAAATTCTTCGTACAACTCACTATCATCCTCAGGCAATTCAACAAACGAATTTATTTCTGTCAAATCGTTTATGGCCGTGACTGGGTTAGTCTTACAAGAGCTGGTTAGTATATTAATTTGCTCGAGGGGTACGCAGGTACCAAGGCCAAAATTGAACAGCGTTTGGGTTATTATTGAAGCCACCTCGTGCTCGAATAGATGAAAAAAACAACTCGAAGTGGTTCTGGCTGACCTTGTATAATGGCAAGTACTGTAAAAGTTTGGTGCCCTCAATCAAATATTTATAGAGTTGAATTGCACTGATCATGTCCAGAATAAGCCCTACAAAGCCGGTTTTTCTTCTGATAGCTACGGGTTTCTGACCAGATGGCAACGTCAGGGAGAAGGAACCAAACCAATGTTCCCAGAGAAAATAGCCTTTTTCACCCCGATGGTCTAGTTGATCGGCTGTTCAACACATCAAAAACATTGTTTATTAACCTAATAAAGTTAATTGTGCCTTCACATCCTTGAAATACCGGTATTTTTAAAATTATTACAATGCTCCAAGGCATCTGCCACCGAGTCACTAAGAAGCTGTGTGGCAAGTCGTACTTGTTTGTATTTGTTTTTGATGAAGTACGTGAGCTTTTGTCAATTTCGTGGCCATATATACTTCCTGCTAATTTAGCAGATGTTCCAGATAGATGTAATTAATTTTCCTGTCATAAATATCACAAAACACTCTTAGTTCTCCGAAAGCATTTCGGACTAGTTTGATAGCATGAAAAGCGTGTACGATGCTGTTACTATAAGTAAAATTCATCTTGCTTGAATTGAAATCACATCCTAATGTTGAAAACATGCTAAAATTTGCAGCTGAACCATCACAGGTCAAGCTCACAACTTTGACGCCTACTTCTTCACATTTGTGGATGCATATTTTTCCTTTAGAGGGAAAAATTCCTGTAGAGGGCGCGGTGATGTAAACATTGTTTGTTCAAACGCTCGTCGATTTTAAAGTTTTAAAAGTGTAATCACGACAAAAATTGGACAAACTTATGTTCAAAACAGTGCAGAATAGTGGAGACCCTGACTACAAGTGTTATCAAGTGAACAATTCCAAAAATAAAGGACAAAATTGCAAAACAAAGTGAGGTGAAGTGATGTGAATGACAATGACCGTCTTTATCGTGTCTTAATTAGAATATTTTTTTGCATTAAAAATAAAGAAATAGTTTTCCGTTTAAAATTACACCGAAAAATTGCAAACCTAACCTACAAAATCAAAATTGTCAAAGTCATCTCTAGACCATAGCACGAAAATTCGATTAGAAACTCGGCGCACAACGACATCTAACGGATGACCTAAACAACAAGAAGTAGCAAAAAAGAGCGACATCTATCTCCGCTCAGGGAAACTACTTCCAAAGCATACTTACACAAAAACGTCCAAAAGTTCACATAGTACAGCACTTTACTCACAGAGGGCATCACAGAGCTTAAGTATACAATACGGCCTAAAGTTAACAGAGGGCGCCACTATGTCGGAAATAGAAAAACTTTTAAAAGAACTAATATTAGATATTAAAAGAGACACTGAAGAATCACTGCTGAATTTAGAGACCTGTATCACGAGCAAAATAAATGATAAAATAGACCAAAATTTTAACTTCTTACAAAGGGAACTTGAACAAATTAAGGAAACTAACTCCAAACATGACAAAAGAATTAGTGCCATAGAAAAACACATTAGGCAAAGGAATGTCATATTCTTTGGGGTACAAGAAGGTGAAAAATCATATCAGGAGTTGGAAGGAACCGTGTTACAAACTATTAAAGACGAGCTTAAGCTGGAATGTGACAGAAAAGAATTAGAGACAGTCCGGAGAATGGGAAAATACTTAAAAGACAAAGTGAGACCTATCGTCGTAACATTTACAACGTACGGCAAGAAGATTACAATTTTGAAAAACATGAAATATATACAAACGAAAACTATTTATATGAAAGAAGATTTCCCACCTCAAATCCTAGAAACGCGTAAAGAGTTACAAGAACAGGTAAAAAAAAGAAGGAAGCCGGAAAAATAGCCTTCCTGCGATACGACATACTTATAGTTCGAGAACCATCCATGAACAACAGCAGAGAAACAGAAGAAGAAAAGACAAACAAAATCGAAACAGAAAAAACTAGGAAAAAGAGAGTTAGAAATAACCCCTCCCCACCAGTTAATAGATTCAAACAAGAACACCGCACAACAACAAGCAATAAAAAAAGAATTAAAAATTCTCATGAATAGCAATTAAAAGGAAAAAATCAGAGCTCCAGAAAAATGAAAACACTGCACCCTCTAAAACAAAAAACAAACGTTATATTTCAAAGACAAACACAAAACCTACAAATCCTCCCCCAGAACGGCTCGTCACCGCGGGGGGTTGTAGACGACCACCCTCCAAACCTAAAAAAATATTATGTATCTACATTCAATCTCAGATCATTAGCAAATGAATTAAGAATAGCTGAATTGGAATACGCGATATCGCAAATTAATTGGAACATTATCGGTATAGCTGAAGCGAGAAGACTGGGTTATAAAATAGAAGACAGGGGAAGATATCTTCTTTATTACTATGGGGAAACAAAGGGAGCAGTGAAATGTTAGCTGTTAGCTGTTTGGGCTGGTTTTGTCAGTAATGATATACATACATATATATATATATATATATATATATATATATATAGTACCCGGTTTTTTTCGCTCGGTTTTTTTTTAATTCGTGTGTTTTGGAAATTATATTTAGATACAAATTACATACTGATGAAATACGAACAATATTTTTTGATCTTAGCGACATAATAGAAAAAACTGAACTGGTTATTTGAATAAAAATCATGAGTGCAATTAGTTAAATTTAAATTTTCGTGTTTTAAAAAAATGTAAAACGTAACGTGTAAAAAAATAGATTTTCTCAAAAAAAGAAAAGAACTTGAAAAAAAAATTAAAATAAGTCGGTCGGTCGGTCTGGGCTCGAACCATGGTATTACGATTTTGTAACCGCCCAATATACCAATTAAACTATTTGTAACCATTAATAAACTGTCAAAATTTACCTTCTTATTCTAACGATATTGTAGCAGTTTTTCATTTCCTAAAAACACGGACAAAAAGACATTTTCTAAAAATAAATCCTAGCTAGATCGATTTATTATCCCCGAAACTCACTGGACACTAAATTTTATGAAAATCGTTGGAGCCGTTTCCGAGATCCCGATTATATATATATATATATATATATATATATATATATATATATATATATATATATATAATATATATATATATATATCCGCGCGCGCGCACTCAGCGTACGGACGTGTTGCTCATTATTATTTCTGTATTTCGTAGGTAGTACCAAGTAAAATGGTTCAGTGTAGAAAGTGCAAGTTATTTGTTTCTTTAGCAAAAGATGATGTTATTAAGTGTAAAGGTTCATGTGACTCTGTGTATCACAAAAAATGCTTATCTCAATGAAGTATCTCAAAAGTGAAATCAGCCCTAAAACGCAAGTACCTAAAATTAATGTAGATATTGGGAAAGCTAGTGCCGAAACGCTTCTAGCAGAGGTCAATAAAAAACTGGAAATAATTTATCAAACACAAAAGAAAATTGATGACCTAACAGAGGCCGTGGATTTCTACGCTGAACAGTACCAAATGATGCTTAACTTTAAGGAAGCCACGGAGAAGAAAATGACTGCTTTGTAAAATAGAAATAAGTATTTACAAAAGTGCAACGACTCCTTAGAAGAGAGGATAATGTTTTTGGAACAAAGAGAAGTGGAGAAAAATATTGAAATAGCGTGCCTGGATGAGTCAGAGAAGGAAGATACAAAGAAAATTGTTGAAATTGTTGCACAGAAATTAAATTTAAACTATGGTAATATGGAGGACGCAAAGAGGGTAGGTTGAGAAAAGAAAGAAGAGGGTAGGCCGAGACCTGTAGTCGTAACCCTACGAACCAAGCAAGCTAGAGATGAATGGCTAAAGCAAAGAAAAGTGTTAGAAATTCCCGGCAACAAAAATGGCAAGCGGGTGTATATAAATGAAAATCTTCCTAAAAATACGCGACAATTGTTATGGAACGCGAAGAAAATGTTAAAAGACGTCTATAAACACATATGGCCACAAAACCTTAAAGTTTTGGCTAAAAAAAGACGATAACTCGAAAATACGCTGGATCCGTTCGGATGCAGATATCAATATATGTGTTTCAATACTGATAACAGCAGCGTATAGTAAATAAAACACAATAAATTAGTATTGTGGAAGCTCACTGTATGTGAATACCTAAATCCACAAAATGGATGATATTTTATCACACATCGAGGATAAATATGAGTATAAAAAATTTCTAGATGCAAATGCGTGGAGCACATACTTAAAAACATCCACGGAGGCACTTGAGCGCACTAATTTTAGTATAGACATTTTATTATTAAGTGAAATAAATATCAGACAAGCGGAGCTGCCGTTATATTGTATAGATGGGTATGATATGCATGGGTTTACAATAGAAAATAGACGAGGAGGAGGCTTATTAGTGTACTCTAAAAATGAATTGCGCCTGCAAACAGTAAACCCGCAAAGCTGTGGTTTGGAAATATTGCACAGTCAATTTAAGAGCTCTGACACCACCATACGCATAATCACCGTATACAAACCGCCAAACACAAATAAGTTACGCTGTATTCAAGAATTATCTGTACTAATTAAGCAAATTCCCGAATACGAGGACTCATTATTGCAGGTGATATGAATATCAACTTATTAGAAAAAAATACAACCACCGATAAATACAAAAACGCAATGTATAATTACAGAATGCAGAGCGTTATCAATGACTGTACTCGCGAGGAAATATTAGCCGGTAGACTCGTAACGTCGTGCATTGATCATGTGTCGGTACGTACACGCAGCCGCCGATTCGCTTCACATATGTTTACGTGCAAGTTGTCGGATCACTATATGGTAGGTGTAAGTATTACCAAAGAATCAAAAGGGGTAAATAGAATAAGTCTTACTAGTGGCAAATATAAAATTTATACTTTGAATAATAAAGTAATAACTCGTGAGTTAGAGCAGATGTCTGTTTGTCCATGTTTTTAGGCAATGAAAAACTGCTACAATATCGTTAGAATAATAGGTAGTGAAAGTTGGGTGTGGCAGAAGAAGCACGAGAGTAGAATCAACGCAGTAGAAATGCGGTCGTTAAGGAGTATGTAAGGGCTGAATCTGAACGACAGGGTAAGAAATTGTGTAATAAGAGAAGAGTGTGGTTTGCAAGATGATGTTGTGACCAGGATTAAGAAAGGAATGCTTCGGTGCTTTGGTCATGTGGAAAGAATGAATATGGAAAGAGTGACAAATAAAATTTATGTTGCAGAAGTGAATGGCAGAGTCGGAAAGGGACGTCCTAGGCGAAAATTTATCGTCCAAATTGGCGATTTATTGAAAACGGGCCAAATTAGGAGTACCCTTAACCGACGAGCATGTATGCGTAGGTGTATGGATGTGAAGGAGGCGAGAGAGGTGTGTCAGGATCGTGCCAAATGGAAGTCTGTAGTCTCTGCCTACCCCTCTGGGTGACAGGCGTGAGTGTTTATGTTTATGTATAATTTTTTTAAGTTGACATACTTATAAGTATTTCCAATATCAATATTCTAATAACTAATCATAAATTCTTTTAAGTTAAAATATAAATAAGTTAGTATTTTCAACAAAATAATTAATATTCTAAAAAACTAAAACTATATTCTTGAAATTCATAAATAAACTAAAGATAAATAAAAAGTGTAATCAGTATTTGTTTAAAAATAAAAAAGACAAACAATTATTGAATACTATGAGAAATTTGGTAAACTTTAAGTGTTAAACTGTTTATTCTATCACTACAATACCGGCTTTTGAAAATAAGCACTCTGAAGGAACTGATGTTGCCGGTGGGTGTGTTGTTGATATGATCGGCAAACTTCGCATAATCATCGGTGTCATTTACATTTAGTCGATTCACTACGGCAGGAACACAAAGCCCGCACACAACCCACGAATCTCCACACTTACTCTTTCAGTAGCTTGCTTGATTCGTTCATGTACAGCCAGCCCAAACTCTAGTTAGGGAGATCCAACTCAAGTTAAGCGCAACTCGAGCTTTGACTAGAGAAAAAATAAAGGACATGACATAAAGATCGTTAGTTTTAGGAATGTAACGAAATATCGGCGTCTCTTTTTAGCTCATGAGTATATTCGTATGTAAAAAGGACAACATTACTTTTATCATTACCGAATATGACAACAATTTTTTCGCTGCGGCTGTTCGCCTTGTTTTGTCACAGTCAATGACAAGTATATCAGTCAGTGTTGCCATATATACAGATTTCTCCGTATTTATACAGATTTTCGGTGTGTAATACAGATTAGCACGGGATACAGATTTTTATACAGAGTTTTCTAATTCTATTGATTGGACTACCATAACACAGAACAAAGCAAAATATGACTAGATACCGCGTTACACACATCATTGCATGATTCAATTCTTTATAGTTAATTTATTTTTTCACTACTTAATTAGTTAGTACGGCAGCATTGTGTATTATAAAAATGTTTAGTGGATGACCTTTTTTACCGTCTGGAAAAAAGTAGGGTGTAACATGTGAACGGCGTAGAAGCCTATGGCGCTGATATTTTTTTTATTGCTTGCATAGAAATAAACAATGCATTGGTTGTAAATCGATTGAACTTGTTGATAATTACAAATATCTAGGATTAACCATAGATACTAAGTTTAGTTGGACCTTCCATATATAACGAGTATGTAATAAATTAAGATCGTTATTATCTAAGTTTGTACACCTTAAAAGTGTAGTTGATAAAACAACTTTACGCATTCTGTACTATGCTCTCGTGGATTCTGTAATTAATTATGGCCTTTCAGACTATGGACGTACGTTCCGAACATACATGGATAGGATACATAATCTTCAACTAAGATTTATTAAACTGTTAGTTAATAAGCAAGCTAAAGAGAAAAGTAAGGGTAACTGTAATCTATTGTTTAAGATATGCAATATTCTACCAGTACGTGAAAAAAACAAAGTATTTATTAGCAATTGAAGGATACAAAAGTAAACTTTTAGTTAGGAAATCCATTTATGGTAATTTAAGAAAGAATACTCGTAAACTGTTTGAGGTGTAAACTGTTTGAACCAAGTGCGCAAAACTACTTTGGTGAAAGGACGCGTAGGTATTTAGTGCCAAGAATATTTAATGAAAACGTGCCACAAGAGGCCTGTCGGACAAAACAAATTTTTAAAAACAAATTCAAATATTGGCTACTGAATGCCATCGACGACCTGTAGTATTAGTAGCAGTAATATTTAGTTTAGTATTAATTATTAATCTTAATTTTTTTTAATATTTATTCATTATTAATTTAATTTAAGATATTCGTTTTCTGTCTTTTATAGCTTTGTTATCAATTTAGTGATAAGTGTACTTTACCTGCTTAGTCTTTAGTTTTTAATTACTTTATAAGTTTACGAATATGTTTTGTTTTAAAATTTATTTTAGAGAAATATTAAAATGCAATTGTAAACCTTAATGAGTGCAGTTTCGCCAATAAACTGTATTCTCAGTTTGGCGAACTTAATGTTTTTTGAACCAATTGTATTTACTATGTTAATAAATAAATTAAATATATATATATATATATATATATATATTTTTGCGCGAATAAGTCGACGTCATGTATCCGGCACTAGCGCCATCTAGTGTCAGGGACGAGAGCGAGGGGAGCTTTCCAGAAAATGACATCACTACCCTTTCAACCGACGCGCCATCTAGTCTCGGAACGAAGAACCAAGCTTCTAGAAGTCGACACTCGAACTCACGGCCACTTGCGCGTGTTTACTTGAATATTCTGGATTGTACGGGTTATCGCACATATTTTATGTAATTTTAATTCAATGACTCGTTTATTTAGGTCACGCAGAAACAATGCATTTGTCACTTGCGAAATCATGTAACTTCCGTACTTTTGCATGTACATCAATTTATAATTCTTTACAATAAATTCAGTGTTAGATCGACTTTCATTGGGTTTGTTTCGTACACTAACTTTCCCTTGCATCCCATCTGCACTCATTCATCTTATATACTGTATACACCTTACAGTGTTTTTGGTCCTTCGAAAAAACAAGATCACATCTGTGGATTTCCATCGACATTTGGAAAATACAGGTACAGTGGTTCCTACGCTTACGTCACTTTATTTTCTTTGTGGATTTTGTGCGACTGCGAATCGGTTCACTGGCTTCCCAGAAGCGGGTCCCACCAGTTCAATTGAGAAGGTGCAAAAAAGGTCGTACTAGGTTTGCGAAGATATGAAGAGTGGACAGTTGTCGTCGACATTCGACACAGTGAACAGTGCTAAGACTCAGTGAGCAGTGATCTTGGAGGGTATCTTTTTTCGTCCTCGGAGTGTCACACAGTGAACAAGCATAATGGAGAGTCTACTTCAGCGCCAACAGGAGATTGTTGAAGCGATCAAGAAGATAGAAAGAAACTTCAGCAAGGATTCCGCAACACGCAAGACTCGTAAGTACTTGAACGAGCGACTCGATGCCCTTGATACAACCATAAGTTATCCGACTATGAGAATGACGCTGATCCTTACTTTACGGAAAATCAGTACCAACAAGCAAGAACGTACTTTGATACTGTGCGCATCAAGATATCGACCTGCCCCCCTGCACGTGAACCTGTTTCTCCGGCACCAGAAGCGCTGCCCAAGATCGTAGCGACACCGGAGCCGACTCCATCTACGGCTCCACCTAAACTACAGCCGAGAGTCACTCTGCCATCGACGTCAAATGCAACAACGGTCTCGCCTACAGATCGTCGCCAGGCAGATGAATTGGTATCTCTGCAAAGAACCAACTTCAGAGCTTTCCATCAACAAGTGAATAGCTTGCGACTTGACGAGATACGCGACAAGTGGGAGCTGGAAGATGAATTGCGTAACATTCAAACGCGCTGGGCTGCAATCGACGCTTTGCATTTACAAATCGATCACATTCTCCAAGGTTCGGATACGCAGTATGACGATGAGTTTTATGCTTACGAAGACTCGTACAAGAGCATCAAGAAAGCTTTGAATCTCAAGCTCGCGTCTACATTACATCTTCAGCAGTCGACACCACATATCGACATACCTACATTCACGGGCAAGTATACACAATGGCCTACATTCTATGATCTCTACGTAGAAAGCATCCATAACAATAACTTGCTCATGAAAACCCAGAAGATGCAGCACCTGAAAGGTAAACTACGAGGAGATGCTGAGCGACTTATTCAGCATCTAAACATCTCGGCAGACAACTACAATACAGCGTGGGAATTGCTGACACACAGATATAACAACCCCCAGCTGTTATTTACAAAACAGATTGAGATTTTTCTCAATCAACCCGTCGCTCACAAGCAATCAGCGTACGAGATCTACGACACGTCCATGGAATGTATGCACGCCATACAGAACCTCGGTATCGATACAAGTACCTGGGATCCGTTGCTAGTACACCTCATAGCGAAGAAGCTAGATGCTGAAACATACAGCGACTACAAAGAGGCACGAAAATCGCCGCGAGACATACCATCGCTTTCTGAGCTAATGGACTTCCTAGAGAGCAAATTCGACGCCTTAGTGCCAATAGGTAAAAAGGAACGAGAGATCTCAACATCATCAAATAGATC